GAATCATCTGTTTTGCAGCAAGCCTGGAAGGGAGCGGGGAGAAGCAGAGTGGTGGCGGCGTGCTCAGGGAGCAGGTGGAGCGGAGGTGAGCTGCGGCGGTGGGGGGCGTGGGGAGGGCCGCAGGAAGTAACCCTGGGGGGGCAGAGGAACCGCTCCCCCTCCAGCTCACCTCCGCTCCACCTCTGCCTCCTCCCCAGAGCGCGCCGCTGCTCCGCTTCTCCCCCCTCCCTCCCAGGCTTGCCTGGGAGTGAGGGGTAGGAGGGGAAATGCGGCATGCCTGGGGGAGGAGGCGGGGCCAGGGATTTGGGGAAGAGGTTGGAATGGCGCGGGAAAGGGGTGGAGTTGGGGCAGGGCCGGGAGGGGCTCGGGAAAATTTTTTTGCTTGGGGCAGCAAAAAACTGCTAGTGCAGGACAGATTTACACTCCAGCTTGTTGTGAACCAAATGTGCCTCTAGAAAGCTGCCTTGAGGGGTTTCAACAGGAAATGGGGAAAAAAAATCTGTTCTAGTTTTTTGTGTTTCTGAGAACATAACCCCAACATGTTCCGCTGAAAAAAATTATTGAAAAAATGTCAATTTTTTGCACAGAGGTTGGGGGTATTTTGGAGCAGTTCTAGATCCGAGCCAAACCAGTGCAATGGGGATTTTGAGCCCTACCAAAAACTGAGGGCGACTGAATAGAAAATTAAATTTTCTCCCAACATAGAGGTAAAGGACCATTGTGAAATTTGGATCTCATGATAGTTTTTCCCTACAAGAAGAGCAGAGCATGTGCATTCAATCCATATGATAATTCTTGGGGATGAAAGGAAAAAAAGAAAGAAAGAACAAATATAGACCCCAATTCATCACAGAATTTAAAAATGAACCTACTTTAAGGATGTGATTAGTCTAATTGAAGTCAGTGGGACTCGTCACGTGCTAAAGGCTCAGCACCTATTTGAGTGACTTCCTGAATCAGGAACATAAAATCTACAAGAATGTGAACAGTGTGTTACCTGCTTTTAATGACCTTAACTTGACTGACACCACTGCTCTCCCACAGACAGTTAGATTTCCAATAACATACAACTGTAAGGAATCACAACATGTGTCCTATGCAGTGTTTGAATCTTAGAATTTCAGACCCCCCGAGCAGTGATTGGAGCTTCGGGGTCAGGGCTGGTTGTGGGGCAGTGAGAAGGTTCCACTCACTGCTGAATTTGGCTATTGTCACTGTAAAGTTCCTAGAACTGTTTTTGACGCTGCTCGGATGCAGCTAATGAGACCAAGTCCCCTGGTATCATACTGATTCAGTTTCTAACATTGGTAACAATGCCCTTTGGGAAATGGATGAGCAACAATGTAACCAGTGCCCTCTGCTCTACCACTCCGTCAGAGGTGACTGGCTACCAATATATAGGGAAGTGGGGAGAAACTGATGGAAAGTTCTTCTAAAGACATGCATGTGTTTTCCAAAAGAGGTCAAAGCAGGGACGAGGCCAAAGAGTGTAGTGCAGAGGAATGTCTCTTACTGGAATTGTGGACTAATGGACCTTGCTCCCATTGTGTCTTTGCTCCTGAAGGAGGTAGAACTCTCTTATTCATTTTACCAAGAATTTTTCCCAGTTAACTCTACCAAAAATATTATTCTTTATAATTTGGGCTGTGTCAAAAGAAGAGGCTGAGAGACCATACCTGGCATATGTAATTTTGATATTCTTATCCTTAGTCATTCTAAAACTCCATGAAGCAGTTCAATACCTGGTCTGATGTGTTTGACTGAGCTTCAAGAAGTTATCTTTTATGACCCGAGCCTACAAAACTGATGCCCATGAGTAACTTTTTAATTCATGCAAGTAATCCTGTTGTCATCATGTGAATGAGATTACACATGTTTATTAACTTTACATCATTTCATGCAGCTGTTACATGCAACTCAAGATTGATAGATAAGTATAGGCTAAAGTATAGGCTAGTCATGACTTTTTCTGTGAGTTTCTTTCATTAGAAAATTCTGATTGGTTGAAACTACAATGTTCACAAAAATGTGATGCCTACACTTTTCTCAGGAAATTTTGAAAATTGCAACCTGAAACCAAATTTTTATACCTTACTTTTTTCATGTCTCACCACCATTGATAGATCGATAGATAGATAGAGTGTATGGGGATATACTTTGGGATCCTGTGTTTGAATATGTGAGTTTCTGCAAAGGTATTAGTTGGTGAGTCCATGGGTGTATTTCACAGTAATTGCTGTGTGTGCTTGTAGTAATCTTTATGTGTTTGTGAAAGTCCCTGTGTATATTTATAACAAATGTGTGTTAGAAAAAATGAAAGTACATTTGCAGTGTGGGGGGAGGTATATTTGTGAGTCTGGCTGTGATTGTGTTACAGGTCCTGCAAAAGTATCTTTGCACCTGTCTATACATAGGTTTTAGGAAGCATGTGCAATGTATATATATTGGTGTGTGTGTGTAGTGTCTCTGACCCCGTGTACATGTATGCTTTTATCTATGTTCGTAAATTGCACGTTTGCTTTGTTTGTGTGTGAAAGGTAACACATTTTTGCTTAGGTCTTCCTATCAGTCAGTGTGCCCCTAAGTCTTCCTATGTATAGTTGTGTGTGCACACAGATGTGTATTTTTGTGCATTTGTGCCTGAGGTTTCAAAAATATCAGCCAAAACAAACAATAGCCCTGTTTTAGAGATAGAGAAATGAGACAACCAGAAATAGAACTTGTGCGATGAGGAATTTAATTTGATATACTAGCCATGGGGCAACCTCATTGTTAGTGAAGCCAGCTTAGATTTACACCAAAATAACTGAGAGCAGACTCATTAAGTTTCAATGGACAGTGTTTTGCCTTGTACAGTAGAACCTCATAGTTATGAACACCTTGGGAACAGGTTGGAAATGTTCGTAACTGAACAAAATGTCATAGTTGTTCTTTCAAAAGTTTATACCTGAACATTGACTGCGTACTTCTTGTTCCCAGTGAGGCATGTGGTTGACTGGTCTGTTCATAACTCTGGTGTTCGTAACTCTGAGGTTCTACTGTACTCATAAAACAGAAAAAACCAAGTGTTTATTGATATTTCAGAAGTCAACTGGACTATTTTGGGGAATAATATTAGTCATCTGCATTAGTGTTGGCAGAAAAGTGGTGAAACTGGACAGGGGAAACAGGATTTAGAAAAAAAATTGTTTTCTTATACTTGTATTCATTTAAAACAATTTTTTTCACCTGGAATTGGTGAAAAAATGCAAAAAATTCTTGGGATTTTTTTCAAATTTTTCTTTATGGTTCAAAATTTCAAATTTTGAAACACAACAACAATCCTATTAACTGATCAAAACAGAACAAAACACATTTACAAAATTTCTGAGAAATAATGTTTTTCCATTTTTTTGAAGATCTAGTATTTTCCTTCATTGAGTTTTCCCCTTACAGAATTTTGTGCATTTCTTTTGTGGCCTTCCTCATATCCTTTCTCTTTTTGATTCCCAATTTCACTGTCACACTTAACATTTTTATTTTTATTTTCAGCTTCAATTAATAAAGTATGTTTTACTTGAAATTCTTCAAGCACCAGAATCTTCCATCGTCCTTCTCACGGAGTAGGACCTTAATGTCTGAGTAGAGATAGGTCAGAAGAACTACTGGAGTCAGGAGTTACTCATTGTAAGGGTGAGTGGGCAGAATCCTGGTTGGGAATTTCAAAGGATAGTAAGCGAGTTAGGCTCCCAGATCAAACTGAATTTCATTAGGTGTTGCTCACCAAACTCGTGTAGGCCTTTATGAAAATCCAGAATGTATGTTCAGAGCTTGATTCCAAAAGCACTTATCTCCAGGGTATAGCACTCACTACCATGAACGGTTCAAATCAGTCATAGATTCAGAGGCCAGAAGGAGCCATTGTGATCATCTAATCTGACCTCCTGTACAAAACAGACCTAGAGTTCTCCTAAAGCAATTCCTGGATTAGATCTTTTAGAAAAACATCCTGTCTTGATTTAAAAATTGTCAGTGATGAAGAATCTGCCATGACCCTTGGTAGGGGGATCCAATAGTTAATTACTCTCATTTAAAAAAAAAATAGGCCTTATTTCTAGTCTGCTTCAACTTCTAGCTATTGGATCGTGATAGACCTTTCTTTGTTAGATGCCCAAAGTAGTTGAATTTGCTACTCGTACGTGTAGATTAAGCATGGCCAACATTGCCTTTATTTGGGATTCTCTTCCTGTTAGAGGGATTTGGGTGCAGCTGACATTGGGGTATTCCTTGTAAACATGGAAACTGATAAAGATAAGTAAAGGGCAAATGAAAAGGATAAGTACTTCTGAAGAGAGAGACCTGGACTCTGTGGAGCAATAAACGTGCTGAAGTGAAAGAAAAAGAGGAAAAAAATGAGACAAAATGGGGAAAACTCACTTTCACATTTTACCGATTTCCCTTTTTCACCCCAATATCAAAAAGGGGAAGAGATTTTTAAAGGTATGAAATGTGAGCAAAATTAACACTTGTCACATTTTAAATCCTTTTCAGACTTTTCTATTGGGACAAAAAGTTTTAAACAACAATAAGGTATTTTTACTCCCAAATTTTCCTATTTTTTTCCCTCGCTTTTTTCAACTTTTTCTTTCTTTTTTTTTGTCAAAATCATATTTTTCAGGGGTTTTGTTTGTTGTTGAAAAAATGTCTGCCAGCTCTAGGTAAAACCCCATCTTCCTGCTCTGAAAAAACAGGATCCAGGTCATTGGACCTCAGAGAGAATGATATCAGTATTAGGCCTTTGACAAAAAGTTATGCAGTTCTAATTATATTTCTGTACACCTCTTAGCCAGAATATGTGACTAACCCAGTCATAAGGGTGTGGGTCTCTATGCAGGTTTTTATCTATAACATCTGAGATGTGTGATTTCACATTTTTGAGAGATTTATAGGCCAACAGGCTCCTCAGGGGCATACCCATGTCTACTGCCTTTGTTGTCTCTGCAGAGTCATATAGCCATCCAATGGTGAGTGGAAATTACACCACAACATCTGGATTCATCCTCTTGGGATACTCCAACCTCACAAACCTGCAGGGTTTGCTCTTCATGGTCTTCTTGATCATCTACATGGTGATTCTGATCGGGAATGGTGTCATTGTCTTTGTCACAATGCTGGACTCCACCCTGCACACCCCCATGTATTTCTTCCTCAGGAACTTATCCTTTGTGGAGATCTGCTACACCTCAGTCACCCTACCCAAGATGGTGGCCAATTGCCTGGCAGAGGATGGAAAAATCTCATTCATCGGCTGTGCTGCCCAGATGTATTTCTCACTTTTATTAGGTGGTACAGAGTGTTTTCTACTGGCAGCCATGGCCTTTGACCGCTACGTTGCCATATGTAACCCCCTGCATTACACACTTATTGTGAACAGTGAGGTCTGTGCTAGCATGGTAGCCGGGTCCTGGTTTGTCAACATCCTGGCACATTTTGGACAGACGTATTTGGTATTTTCTTTGCCCTTCTGTGAGTCTCGTGAAATTAACCATTTTTTCTGTGACATCCCCCCTCTGCTGGAACTGTCCTGTGTGGACACCTTCAGGAATAAAATAGCTGTGTTTATTGCAGTTCTGCTATTCATAATCACCCCTTTTTTCTTCATTGTTATTTCTTATATTAAAATCGCCAGCACAATTATGAAGATGCCTTCAGCCCAGGGCAGATGCAAGGCCTTCTCCACCTGCTCCTCACACCTCACTGTAGTAACTCTATTCTATGGCTCTGCTATGATTGCGTATTTAAAACCCAAATCAAAGGGTTCAGTGGACACTGACAAACTGCTCTCTCTGTTTTATACCATTATGACGCCAATGTTTAACCCCTTCATATATAGTCTGAGGAACAAGGAAGTGAAAATTGCCCTAAGGAAAATATTAAGTGGAAAATGATTCCATAAAATACACCACATATTCCTCAAATAATGTTCCAGATATCTCTTAATTATTCACCAGGCAATTCAGAACCCCTAAGATACATTTCTGGTTCCTCAACAGACATTCTAGATTTCTGAAGATCTATTTGAGACTTCTTGGAGAGTCTACTAGACATGTTATTGATTATTATGCATTCCATATTACACAACATTTGAGACTCTCTGACAAACTGAAAAGATTCATTCAGACATGTTCAACGGGATACGTTCCCTATTCCTCAAGATTTGATTTGATTTTCATGTCCAACTCCATCATGTGTATTGGAAGGAACAGAGAAGAAAATATTATCTTGAGGGAACTAGCAGGTAGAAAGAAATGTCTTAATATTGCATTTGTATGAGGTCCACATATTTTTTCTTGATAAAATGTAACAATTGCAATTAAAGTGGATTTGCTAAAGCAAGCACAATTGTCATAAAATAATGTACTCTGATTGGGAACATTTTCTTTCTTTCTTTCTTTCTTTCTTATAGTTTCTGGAGAACTGCATTAAAGTCTGAAACGATATGTATCCTCAAATATAAGCCAATGTGAAATATGTTTTAAATGCAGACTACATGGTATCACACTAAATAAAAGATTAATTTTAAATTCAAATCTCTAGGATTTCAAAAACTGGGTTAATTTCTTTTATCTATTTAGGATTACCTAAAAGGAAATGAGTATTTGGGGACTAGATTCACAAAGGGACGTAGGTGCCTAAGTTCCAGAATCAGGCCTTCCCAGGATTCGCAAAACCTCCACTCAGTTGCCATCCAATTTTGTAGGGACCGAAATTATCTCAGTGCCAATGTCTTTGCAGTAAAAGTTCCTGAGGCGCCTATGTTTCTGCCTCTGAGAATGCACACTGCAGCTCCCTGGTAGGTGTCCAGACACCCATGCCCCAAACTGATGCACTAACCATGGGAAGTTAAGCATTCCTCCACCTAACTCGCCTATAGGGCCCAATCCAGTAAGCATCTTGTGCATTGAATACAGTCCTGAATAAGTTTGGGAATAAGCTTTAAGGAACATCAGTCTGGGGCTGCAGGCTTCTGGTATGGTAACAACTGCTGAGTAGTGAGTGCTGAGACCAAAAGGGTGAAATCCAACAAGGTTTATTAAGACAACAATCCAGCAGCTCCAGAAGCAGTTGCCGCAGCAGCCTCTGATGCCAGCCATGGCACAAACATACACTTATGCTGCCTGATTCCCGATAGTTCTCTAAACACACATGCTACAACTCTCAGCTCGCAATCCTGGATCTAGCAACACCACATTTCCCTCTGTTTTAAGAACAAACCCAATATTACAACAGTAATAATAATCTCATAACTTGTATATGCACCCCCCTGTCATAGGGGCCTCTGAACTTAATTGGGTGTATTCTGGTCAGGAAGATCATGAGTGCCACAATCCAACCTCGAGACTACAACTGCAATACTGCCTTGGGGAAGAGTGAGACTCCACTTCCAGGTGTTATGGGGTTAGGGACAGGGTATGGTAAAATGGGACCTGACCTCACCCTAAGTTATTTCAGTGGGATGAGAAGCAACCCATCTCTTAGCATGCTGGCATTACCCAGAGGAAGAGGTTGCCTGTGGGAAGGGGTGGCACACCATCAAGGCCTTGCCTACTGGGTCCCCAGAACTCTCTAGAATTGGGTTTAGGGTTGAAACCCAGTTACCAATTGCACTCCCTCTTGAGGGACAGCACAGCTGCTCATGAGACCCCCCCCCCCCCGGTTTGAGCCTGAACATTAGAGACTATGGTGAGGAAGCTTCCATATCGTGTCACTCTCTTGTCAGACTATCTCCTCCCCAGTTCTTCCTCTTACCCTCCCTCATCAGCTCCATCTGTGAGGTGGAGTGCTACCATTCTGCTACTAGACAGATTCCTAGTAAGTAACATACATGGGGTATGTCAGGGTTCCCTTCCCACTCTGAACTCTGGGGTACAGATGTGGGGACCCGCATGAAAGACCCCCCTAAGCTTATTTTTTAATCATAGAATATCAGGGTTGGAAGGGATCTCAGGAGGTCATCTAGTCCAACCCCCTGTTCAAAGCAGGACCAATCCCCAGACAGATTTTTTGCCCCAGATCCCTAAATGGCCCCCTCAAGGATTGAACTAACAACCCTGGGTTTAGCAGGCTAATGCTCAGCTGCTCTCAGCTAAAAGAAAAAAAAAGTGTCCTTTTTAAAAAAAAAACCTCCCTGGTTTTCAATCAGCCAAAAGAGAAAAAAATCCTTTTTAATATCCTGAAGTTTGTGCTTCTGGTTCAAAATGATCCCACTGCTTTGCCACCATGTCAGGGTTCCTTCCCCTCTCTGAACTCTGGGGTACAGATGTGGGGACCTGAATGAAAGACCCCCTAAGCTTATTTCTACCAGCTTAGGTTAAAAACTTCCCTAAGGCACAAATCCTTCCTTGTCCTTGGATGGGTACTGCTGCCACCACCAAGTGAGTTAGACAAAGATTCAGGAAAAGAATCACTTGGAGTTCCTGTTTCCCTAAAATATTCCCATGTCCCTTCACCTCCCATCCTGGGGAGGCTTGAGAATAATCTACCAACCAAATAGGTTAAAAGGTGAGCACAGACCAGACCCTTGGGTTTTTAGGACACTAAAAGCCAATCAGATTCTTTAAAAAACAGAACTTTATTATAAAGAAAAAAGTAAAAGAAGCACCTCTCTAAAATCAGGATGGAAAGTAATTTACAGGGTAATAAGATTCAAAACACAGAGGATTCCCCTCTAGGCAATACTTTAAAGTTACCAAAAAAAAAAAGGAATAAACCTCCCTCTTAGTATAGGGACAATTCACAAGCTAAAACAAAAGATAATCTAACACGTTTCCTTCCTATTACTTACAATTTGTAATCTTAGATGCTTAGTTCAAGTATGGCTTTGGGAGATGTATTTTCCCTGCCCTGATTCCTCGCTGACCCAAAGAGAACACAGAGAGAGTGACAAAACAAAAACCTTCCCCCACAGATTTGAAAGTATCTTCTCCCCTTATTGGTCCTTTTGGTCAGGTGCCAACCAGGTTATTTGAGCTTCTTAACACTTTACAGATAAAGGGTTAAGAACCCTTAGCTGTATGTTCATGACAGGGTGGTAGCTTTATTCTGAACTACACTTGCACATGCACAAAATACCAAATCAAATAAAACAGATTTATCTTGCTCTGGAACAGCCTGAAAATGGGAGAAAACTTGTTAGCAGGTTTCAAAATGTACCAGGCAGTGGAAAGATTTTAAAATATACTATAGCTATCCTGATGCCACTTCCTATGTCCATCTGAAAAGACACACTAAATTATTTACTCTATAAGAATGCATACCAAAAAAACAAAAACAAAAACCAATGTTAGTGGTGTGCCCGATGATGAACCCTTTAATCTACAGCCTGAGGAATAAGGCGGTGAAGAAAACCCTGGGAAGGGTGATGGACAGAAAAATATTTCTTTGAAACCTGTAAAAAAAAATATTCTTGTGATGGATTTGGAGTTGCCTGTAGTAATTCATGAAAATACTATATAATCTGTATGTTTGTCTGAATATTGTAAACATGGTTTTGTAGTCATATATTGGGTTAATTCAATAGCCGGGTGGTTGGGAAACTACCCAGGAAGATGAATGACAGATCGTTTAAGAGCTCCTCAGCAAAGACCAAGGACAATTAACTGAGATATCCTTCTCCCACCCATGGTGGGCCTGCCAGACTTGTTTTCCCAAGACTGAATTCCTCTCCCTATGAAGAGTGGAAGATCAAAAGACTGAAGTAGATTTAAAGAGACACTCTCCCTGAATAAAGGAAAGGCTAGATTGATGAGAAGGTTTGGGTGGAGGAACTGCTCGCCAAGACCTCCAGAGGTTGGAGGTTTTTCCAGGAAGCTTAGCCTGCCTAGGGGCTTTTCCATGGGTAGGCAGGTCTTTGGATAAGATAAATACATGTTTCAATGCATTCTAGGAAAAGAAAATATATATACACAACACATTCACATCAACCCTTTATATTTCTGCCTCATTACTTCAGAAATGGCATCAATCACTTGTTCAACAACACACATCATTATTAGCAATTTCTTGTTTTCCCACCAAATTTCAGAGAGCTCCCTTATGTCTGTCCCAAAAAGCTCTGCATAGTATGTTCATTTTTCTGAAAGAATATGATCCTTTTTTGTAACTGCCATACAATACCTAAAATCATAGACTCATAGAAGATTAGAGTTGGAAGAGACCTCAAGAGGTCATTTAATCCAACCCTCTGCTCAAAGTAGGACCAACCCCAACTAAATCATCCTAGTCAGGGCTTTGTGAAGCCAGGCCTAAAATACGCAACTTCAGCTACGAGAATAGCGTAGCTGAAGTCGATGTATCTTAGGTCGATGTATCTTAGGTCGATGTATCTTAGGTCGACTTACCTCGCATCCTCATGGTGCAGGCTCGACTGCCACCGCTCCCCCGTTGACTCTGCTTCCGCCTCTCGCCATGGTGGAGTACAGGAGTCGACGGTAGAGCGATCGGGGATCGCTCACTACCTGCCAATCCGGCAGGTAGTGTAGACGTACCCTAAGATAACCAATCGGAGATGCCCAGGAGAGTGCCAGGGTGTGTCCTAAAACTTGGCCTCTGAAGGAGTTTGATACCTAAGTGTGGGCTGCAGGATGACACCTATCTCTGCTTGGAATTCTTAGCTAGGAACCCTGGTGTTATGCTGTTTTTGAAAGAGATGTTCCCTCATAGCTTTGTGCCTAAGGTTAGGGTAAGCACATGAGATGTGGCAAACCCCCCCAGTTCAAGAGCTCCCTTGAAGGAATTTCAACAGGGATTTTCCACCTCTCAGACAAAAGCCCTAGCCACTGAGCTAAGGGATGTCCTCTCTCCTGCTCAAGCTGTTCCATTGTCGATAAATAATTAAAAGTCATTAAGGAAGGTGGTCTGGATCTCAGGGCTTTTACCTCCTAGGTGA